AAAATATGAAGTGGCAGGTATAATATTAAATATTGAAGAATGTTCCTAACACTTCCTAATAAAATTTTTTAAAGTTTTACTGAGAAACCTGAGCTTGTAGCTGCAAACTTTTTTATGTGGTTTATCTTTTGAATGTTCACCTGCAGGTCCTGATCAAGACTTTTGATCTCTCTGATTCTTAAAAGTTATCATCAGTAAAAAATTTGTACCAATAGATGGCTAAAACTTTAAATCTCTTAAAAATCATTCAGAAACTTAAGACATTTAAAATTTTATTTTAAAAAATTCTTCCCTGTTCACATTGGCAACCAAAAAGTTTATATTTCTTGTCATAATTCCAGCATGTTTAGAACCTAATCAATCTCTTTCATGTGACATGTTTTCACATGTTGAAGCTCTATTTGCAGAAAGCCCATATATTGTTTGGGCAGTCACCTGTTCTCATGCATCTATGGAATACAAAAACATTCAGCTTTCCAGAGATTTTTCCAGATATTGGCTGTGCCCCCAAAAGGCTTTGTTAAGCATTCTAAAGATGAATCATTTATGTGATCACAGTTAACAGGACTAAGAAATCGGGCTGGGAAAGAGAAGACATTTTGATAAAATGGAAATCAAAAGGATGGACATCATAGTAGGGACCTCAGAGTTCCTTTACTGATGAGAAAACAAAGTTACAGGAGACATAGCCTTGTTCAAAAGTCTTAAAGCTGGCTGCAGAGGAGCCAGAAATGAGGACCCAGGTAGGTGTCCCAACGTGGCAAGTCCAGTGCTCGTTTGTAAGACCAAATGCACATTCTGTGACAAAAAGGAAGGGACAGGTGAAGTGGCTGTGTTGTCACTTTTTCCTAGTGAAGTTTAAGACCCACACAATCCCACCCCAGTTACTTCACCTTCTCTCTGGGACTTCTGCCTGGGTCACTCTCACCTTCCATCCAATATCCCCACCAGGCAGAATCAATTGGTTCGTTCTTGTTCCCGTAACACTGAGTTCTAGGTTCCATTGGATTGCTTACCTCACTGCAATGGGTTAACTGGCCTCACATCTGTCTTCTGAGCTAGCTGCAGGCTCAAACGCTGCAAGTTATTCGTCTCCATATTCCCAGAGTTAAGCACAATGCCTGGCACAAGATAAGCATTTAACAAATGTTTATTGAATAAATGAAATAATGGCAACTCCCTTTTGCCATCGAAATTTCAGCAGAGGCTAATAGGTGTCCATCCAGTTCTCCTACGTGGGAAAGTTCTATACATACCATTTCCCCCTTTTTCAATTGCTCTTGCTTCTGTGCCCTGCCCACCCATGGGAGCAGTGTACATCTTGGTGAACTTACAACACCCCCAAGATCCCACCTGTTAGGAACTTCTGTCTTAAAGGAAATGGCCAAAGCCCGCCTCCTTACTATTTTCTCATTAGAGTTTCATTCTTCTTCTTCCTTTTGTTGTTCTTTGGTCTCCAAATGGTGAGAGGAAAGGACTTTTTTCTCTTCCAAGAGCAGAACATTCCACCTGCTCAGGAGCAACATGACATCCTGTTGCATATGTGCCTTAAGAGGCTCTGGGATTTTTATGCCTCAGAATAATCTGTAGGAAACTATTAAAGCCACAAGGGAAGGAACCAGGGGGGGAAATCCCTACTGGGAGGGACTCTGGGCAAGTCCCTTAACCTGTCCAAGCCACAGCGTCCTTATCCATACCACAGGGAAGTATTGCCACAGAACAAGTGATCAATTAATAGTGTTTTCAATGTTTGAAAAAGGAGACCAGAAGTTGCTGGCAGAGAAGGTGGTGATTCATGCAGGTGTGGTGGAATGCACCTGCTGGGTGGGGCCGCGACCAGGGAGAGCCATCCATCTCTGGGTGGGAAGAGTTCACTTCTGTAAAATGAGGGCAGATCTCCGGGCCTCTTGGGGGCATATACACAAACCTAGCATTTCCTGTTACATGCTAGGAGAGCAGGGGGATGCAAACTGAAAGAAAAGCTTAAATGGAGGAGGTGCATCCGTTTTCAGAGGGGATGTGAAGAGGAGAATGACAGACAGCAGAGAGCCTGCAATGGGAATGCACTGCCAGGCAGGTTGTCTGGAGAAAACCACTGGGGTTGCTGAGGGGAGAGAGGCCAGGAGGACATGCAGGCCAGGTTACAAAGGTGATTCCAGTGAGATTTCCACGGAGGGACAGCCGAGAGGAGTCTGAGCTATAGCTGCACCCCTGGGTGCCTGCAGGGCAGAAATGAAGGGTAGAAGATTCCAGAGCTGACTCACACTGGGGTACAGTGCCCCATGGAAGCCAGATCTACTGCCACCTACAGCTGAGAGGTGGGCAACCTCCGGAGCTGCCTTTGTCCTAGGCCCTGCCTGGCCCTTCTCAAGTCTCATCTGTCTTTCCCTGCTCTTAAGAACACTAGTGACTAGTCACGTCTGGCTGCTGGGATTGTGCATCCAAGGTGAGTACATGCCAAAAAGAGAAGAGGTCTTCTCTTTTTAAAAGCTGGATGGACCTACACCTAGCAAAAAGTTTAATCAGTGATCAAAATATCTCCCCTAAAAGAAAAGCCCAGGAGCAATTTGATAAATTCTAGCAAATACTTGAAGAAGAATTAAAACCAATTCTTAACAAACTGTTTCAAAAATAAAAGAGGAGGAATATTTCCGAACTAACTTTCTGCAGCCAGTACTACTCTAATACCAAAAGCAGACACAAACATCAAAAGAAAAATACAGATCAGTATTTCTTATGAATATAGACACAAAAATCCTCAACACAATACTAGCAGACTGAATCCAGCAACATACAAAAAGGATTGTATACCAGGACCAACTGGGATTTATCTTAGGAATGGAAGATTGGTTGAACATCTGAGAATTAATTAAAGTATCACATTCATATTGATAGAATAAAAGACAAAACCACGTGATCACCTCAATAGACACACAAAAAAAAATATATGATGAAATTTGACATACCTTTATGTTAAAAACCTGAAACTAGGAATAGAAATTTATCTGCAACCCGATAAAAGGGATTTATGAAAACCTTCATTCAATCAGCCCTAATGGTGAAAGACTGAATACTTTCTTCCCAAAAATCAGGAACAGGACATGATATCTGCTCTCACCACTTCTATTTAGTATTATAAAGTAGGGCCTAATGAAGGCAATTAAGGAAGAAAATGAAATAAAAGTTATCCAGATTGGACAAGCAGGAGTAAAACCGTATTTATGGATGACATGATATGGTTGCATATAGAAAATCTTAAGGAATCCACTAAAAAGTATTATAACTTTTAGTTCAGCAAGTTTGTATGATAAAAGATCAATATACAAAACAATTTTATGTCTAGACAACGGCAATAAGTAAACTGAAATTGAAATTAAGAAAACAATTCCATTTATGGGAGCATCAGAAAGAATAAAATACTTAGCAAAAACTTCAACAAAATAATATAAAATTTGTATTCTGAAAACTACATAACATCGTTGAAAGAAAGAAGGCCTAAATAAATGGAAAGACATCCCATGTTCATGAATTGGAAGATTTAATATTCTTAAGAGATGGCATTGCTCTCCAAATTGATCTTCACATTCAGTGTATACCCAATCAAAATCCCTGTTTGTATCTCAAGGTCCAGTACAGGGAAAGTAAGTCCCCAGTTAAACTTGAGTTACTACAGATTGGTGTGACCAGTTTTTCTAAGACAGTAGCCAAGAAATCTTAAACTTAAAAGGCTTTCTTAAAAAGGAAATACTTAAAAAATAGTTTAAGCCTGTCCTTGAAAGTGTGACTTTATTGTTATCCAATTAACACATCTTCCCCTCCTCCACACCTAATCCTACCAGTTTGAGCCTACAGAGCCCTCTCTGCTCTAGACAAAAGGGTACTTTGAACCTGGTGCCTTCTAAGCATGACCTCTGTTTCTCCTATTTAAATTCTGGATACTCCCAGTTGACTGAAACAAACTCAACTATCACCAGGAGATCCCCCTAACAAAAGCAGGTTGGTTTTGGAGTTACAAAATCTGGGGTTAAATTTCATATATAAACAATCTTGGCCAACTCCACTGATCCTGCTTCCCTCCTTTATAACAAAGCATAACTCAGTGGTGCCCTACTAAATGTTTAATAGTCAGTTATCTGCCAATTTCTGTGGTGTAAATACTCTCACCATGGCCAGTTTCCAGCACCAGCATGAGTTGGGAATAGATACGCACAATCAGCTCTCATGAGTTGGGAACACGTAGCTACTGCAACACCTTTTAATACTTACGTTCCAGAGTTATGAGGACTCAATGTGAAATGTATGAAAATAATTAGTGGAGTGCTTTAGTAAGCCTTGAATAAATAAAACACCTCTTGGTTGAGGCACTCAGAGAGTAGACTTTTTTGGTGGAGGGGCCCACTTGGAAAGGGGAAGTTGGGCTGGTCAACTGAGCAGAAGCTGGCAGGATAGGGGAAAGAAATAGCAAAAGGGAAGTCAACTGAGCTCTTATCTAAGTATCTCTACCTGGGAGGGCACTGGGGGTAAGGATTGAACTGAGAAAACTCCCTTGTTTCCTGGAGCTCAGTGGGCATCTTTTGCCCACTGAACAGATGGTTATGTAGGGCAGCAAGCCTCAAACTTTATTGTGCATAAGGATTTTCTGGAGGACTTGTTATCTGGGTAGCAATCCCAGAGTTTCTGATCCAATAGGTCTGGGATGCAGCTGAGAATTTGCATTTCTAACAAGTTCCCAAGTGATGAAGATGCTCCCAGTTGGAGGCCACATGCAGAGAAGCCCTGAATCAAGGTACTGAAGGCCGGAGGAGCTAGAGATGGAGTTTTGTCTTGGCATTTATGTCTGGCTCTTTCGCCAGGGTTCAGGAAGCCATGGTTTCCTTTCGCCCCTCTCTGCTGCTATGGAAAAATGATCCTTTTTGGTGAATATGAAATGTGTGTGAATCTCTGAAGATATGACAAGAGGATTCATATGAATTCATTTGTTGACTTTCTTAAACACTGACTGAGCATTTGCTTTGGAAAGCAATTGTAAAAAACACATCGTTTTCTTGGACACCAAAAGCTTTCTGCCTAGCACCTCCCTGGAATCTCCGGATGGGGGAGGGACTTGGGAGATAATAGGTCCTGGTGAAGTGCGAGGGCCAGTGAAGGTCAGACCCTTGGGCTGTGCTGCCCAATGTGACAGTCACTAGCCACACGTGGACAGTGGCTACCACATTGGACAGATCAGATACAGGACCTTTCCCTTGTTGCACAAAGTTCTACTGGATAGCATGGTCTAGACCACTAATGAAGAGAAAGCAGAGGTGGCTTTGAGGATGAGGAAGTGGTAATAACCTTCAGGAAGTGAGTTTCTGCCCCATCCATACCAGGCTGGGAAAACTTTAGAGAACAATTCTTCAGACAATTTGTAAAAACGGCCAATTTTGATTCAATGCCCATAGGAGCAGGTAACCCACAGGTGCCTGTCCCAGCCCTTGCTTCCAAGTAAGTCATTTTGCAGCTAGATGTTGAAAATCATAAATGGCAGCTGGACAGGAGGATTTGGCTGCTTTTATAATCAAGCCCTTGTTTATCTTACAGCTTCTTGGTTCTCAAGTTAAAGGTCATGGCTTTTGTTAGGAGGAAGGGTGTCCTAGGAAAAGCAGGTTGGGTGTTTCCAGGCTGGGGCTACCACCCCATCCAGGAGTAGCCTGTACGTTGGCTGAGTGTGGCTGGATGGTGGTGGACAGGGCTTCCGGCTCCTTCCCACTGAGTCACCAGGGCCAAGCCCCAGAGATGACAGGGCTTCCTTTCTAGAGGTCCTGTGTTCAAGATCCTGTTCAGGGTAGGAGAATAAAACATCAGGACACTCAAGATTACCTGGGTGGCCATTTTTCTTAAACAATGAGAGGATCCAAGAAAGCCATGAACACTGACAATTTTAACATTGAGCATTTTTTAATTAAGATATTACTGATATTCACTCTTATGAAGGTTTCACATGAAAATACAATGTGGTTACTATATTCACCCATGTTATCATGTCCCCCCCCATACCCCACTGCAGTCACTGCCCATCAGTGTAGTAAGATGCCACAGAGTCACTATTTGCCTTCTCTCTGCTACACCAACATTGAGCATTTTAAACTGTGAGTCTCCAATGACATTTAATCACCCTGTGGAGGTGAAGGCATTTTGCTCCTGATCAGTTCCCTTTCTCCCGTGCAGTGCACTTTCTAACGCTCTGATTCTGTCTCCAAAATTCCACGCCTTTCTTCCCCAGAGGTTTAGGTGACTCTTCGATTTGCATATAAATTATCCTGTCCCTCCAAAAGCCTTTGTTTCAGATTCTTCATTGCAGCCATTTCCTTCAGAGAATTTCAACAACTAGGCAATGAGGTGAGACGCTGCGTTGTGGGGAGGTGAGGAGTTGAAATCAAAGTATATACAGGAAAGGCCTCAGGTTTGGAGGAATGCATGGGGGAAGGGGAGAGAGAAGGAATCCAGGCCCACTTGTTGACAGAGAAAGCAGAGAGCAGAAGTCAAGATTTTAAACTGCAGTTAATGGCACGGAGCAATG